CTCTCTCTCTCTCACACACACACACACACACACACACACACACACACACACACACACACACAGAGACAGAGAGAGGGAATATGACAACACACATGAACACCATCAATGAACGGGTTTACATGCCTCTATTATACTCCATGTTGCTTGCTATAGAGGTGAAACTGTTTAGTGAAACTGTTTCATTGTTGGATTGTCTCAACTCAAGGGCTTTCATTGTCTGCAATAGGATTGAATATGCTTTGGTTTTGGATCTGCCTATCTGGGTGGAATAGGGACCGTTGTGGTGAAAATTCAAATCACACTCACGCACTCACTCAGTCAAAGCGTTCAAGGGATGTTTCAAGTCCAAGTCATGATGAGGGTGCGTTGTTCTCCTATTGAACAACCAGTACATCCGAGCCTCTTTTGTACTAGGCGGATTCCACTGCACTTCAGACTTTGCCGAAACGCCAGCGGAGGGTTTTTGTTTTAGTTTGAGTCATTTTTGCAATCAGATGCGTCTCCTTCTTACGGAGCATGCGTGCAAAGTTGCAAACAGATGACGATCAAACTGGCGCATGGCGCCCACACAAAGCTCAGAGATAAACGAGGCCAGGAACACAGCTCAGATCCAAAGTTGTCTTGAAACGGCTATGGCGCAGGGCACCAGACAAAATTCCCGACCAATCAACTGTCTCTTCCGGCAACTTACACACACAACACACACACACACACACACACACACACTCTGGATCACCCTGGATGTCCCGCACATACACACACAACACACTAACCTCCTAACTGGCAGCTATGACTGCCGTCTACCTCCTACAACTAACTGACTCGCAGCTATGGCCGCGTCTTCCTCCTCTCAGCCCTCTTCCTCTCCGGGCACCTGCAGACCTTCCGCAAGGCTCACAGGCAGAATGAATGAATGACTTGACGCTGCCTCTTTATTTATACTTCGGATTGTCATAGGTCTGCCCTTTTGACCCTGGGCCTGGGGTGTGCACAGTCCCACATGGTACTTGCTGACTAGACAAAGTGCGACCTGGGACTGGGTACCGCCGACTAGGCTAGGTAGGACTAGGACTGCCCTTTGCTGACCGTGTTAGGACTGCCCTCTGCTGACTCAGACGCGGACTGACTCCTCCTACTCACGAAAGGCCACTTCCGGAGCTTCCGGAAGGTCGTGGACTTGACCTTTCGGAACTGTAGCAGCTACGACCTGTGCTACTACTAAGATCTCTAATCTCAGATCTACGGTTCAAGACCCGACGACTGCACTATACACAACAGCTGAGCATACGACTTTCATAACACAGGTCGCGGGTTCAAACACACACGGGTCAACCGGTACTGTACATGGGTGAAGGTGAGGTCTAGGGATCGAGCCCTGGGTACTGCATCTGCTACCGTAAAGGTGAAACCGTTTCATTTTGGTCCGGTTGCCCTGAGCCTCCAAGTTTTTCAGAGTGGCTCAATCGTGATTCTCAAGTTGGCCGGGGCAGAACTACGTGATGTTGAAGAACACAGTGCACCGTCATCATGACTTTATCGGACAAGAAAATTAGGTTGAGTAGAGTTTTCAAACATACTTGCAACTGGACGAGCCGCATGGCCGTGTGGTGTGCTGCGCTGTACCTCCCTGCGCACCGCACAGAAGTGCAAAGGGTCCCATGCGATGCAGTGCGGAGGGTGCTTGTGCGGTCTGTTCTCCGCACCGTGTGGATCCGTGTGGAGCAGTTTTTTTTCCCCTTTTTTCTCTGCACTGGAGGCAGAGGAGACCATGGTTGTGGGGGTACACCAATATGGTGCATGCCCAGAAAACAGCCATCTGGATCTTGATTAGACTAGTGTTGATAGACTTGGGTCTCGAAATCATGACCTGTGCACAGCAACAACAACAGCCCACAAATCAGCCCTACTCCCCGATTCACTCCTCAAGTCACCCACACTACTTGCCCCACCTTGCCCCCTCCTGCACAACCGTCCACCCCGATGGACAAARAATGGGSGGGGAAAAAAAAAAAAAAAAAAAAAAAAACGTGATTTCCCAGTGGTTGCTTTCTCTGCGACTTCAATAAGAGGAGGACAGAGGAGGAGGGATGGAGGAGGAGGAGGAGGAGGAGGAGGGATGGAACGGGAATGGAGGAGACAAAGGCAGAAGAGGCGGAGGAGAGATGGAGGGGAGGATCAGGAGGAGAGATGGAGGTGGAAGAAACGAGAAAGATGATGCCACATGGACATGAAGATGGAGGAGAGAGCATGAATGAAATAAAAAAAGTTGTGATTTCCACCGATTGCATTCTCTGTGGCTGCGATAAGGGAACGAGAGAGAAGGAGGAGGAGGAGGAGGAGGAGGAGGAGGAGGAGGAGGAGGAATAGAGATGGAGGACATATGGAGGAGACGAGGGTGGAGGAGGAGGAGGAGACATGGAGGAGAAGGAGGAGGAGGAGGAGGAGAAGAAGGGTGAGGAGGTGGACGAGTGATGGAGGGATGAAGGAGACGAGGGTGGAGGAGGAGGATGAGACAAGGACGAAGAATGGATGGGGAAAAAAAGGTTCCCGACTTCCAGCACTAGCTTTCTCTGCAGCTTCAATGCAAGGAAGAGGAGGCGAGACGCAGGGATGGAGGAGATGAGGGTGGGGGAACATGGAGGAGGAGGAAGAGGAGGAGAGACGGAGGGATGGAAGAGGAGGAGACATGGAGGAGGAGGAAGCAGAGAGATGGAGGGGGGCTGGTAAAACTCACTGGAGGCAGATGATGGGGCTCCTCTTGTGGCTCGGCTCCATGCTCTCCAGCCGCAGGCAGAAAAAGTGCACAGCAGGGAGGATGCCGTTATCATTGAGGAGGACGTCGAGGGGCCACTGCCACAAAAGAAGTCGCACCCCAGTGGCCCTGCCCCGCCCCAGTACCCTGCTTTACCCACAAGTTCGAATTTTTGAGTTCTTGCGGGCTGCACTTCAACGCAGCCCGCCAAATAAAAAAATCGTCCCCAACTCATTTTGAGTGGCGGTGGGGG